TTAGTGTTTGTCGTTTTGTTCGAATGTATCCAACTGTTTGTGTATGAGGTGTGATTACAAGGTCGTATTTTTTGTTTTCTATTTCACAATTGTGTAAAACGATTGTTTGTTTATTTCCTAGGTTTTTAAATGACATAAGGTTTAGAATGACGGATGCAAAGGGTTGTTAAATGATTTCTATTTTCCTAAACTGTTAGTTCTTACGATTTTTTTGGTTAGCTTAACCTGGGTCTATTTGTTCAGGGTTGGAGAGAAAAGTATATCGATTCCGAAGAATGATTTTTACTTTCTCGTGACTAGTATAAGCTAAGGTGTTAACTTACTTAATCTTACTTAGGGGTAGTGATTGTGTTCAAGGGTTGGAGAATAGTAAATCGATCCACAAGGTTCAGGTATAATTAGAACGCGAGTAGTTCGTTAGATACTATTTTAAACTTACTAAGTCTAAGATTTATCCTGGGTCTGGTAAGAGGGGGGGTCAAGTGAAGGATGAATAACCGAAGTTCTTCACTGTTTATTCTAATTTGAATGATTAGTTTTGTTTAAAAAGTTCTATTAGTCTTGGGTCTTTAGAAAGGGTTGGGTAGTGAATCGACGTTTGAGGTCGTTAGACACTAATTAAGTGGGTGGGGGAGAACAAAGTTGTTCTGTTTGATCCAAGGATAAGCCTTGATGATCAAATTTAAATTTTAATTAAGTAGAAAATGATTTAAGATCCAAGGATAAGCCTTGATGATCTGGTTTTAAATTAAGTGACTTTAAGTTTTTATAAAGTTTTAAATGTGTGTAAAGGAAAGATTTAGTGTTTTGATGATATTAGTGAGTTGATGATTGCTGTTATGTTTTAGGTGATGAAGCTGGAACAACAAGATGATTTATGATTACTAACCATTTATTGTCATGCTACTAATTTTTATTTTTATTTTCCAATAAATATTTTTCAAACATGTTTTGTATAATACTGCAGAGTTTTAGGAAAACGATCTTAGATCTTTTTATCAATCGTTATTGTATAATATTAATTTTGTTTAGCGCCTGTAATGATTTTGAAGAGTAACTTCAAGGTTTTATGTTTGCAAATGGAAATCTAAATTCATTGCAAGTAGTATTCGAAATATAAAAGTTTGTTCTGGCTTTTGCCGAACTATCATATAACTATACGGCAAGTTTCTACTTTGTCGTATGTCGTCTTTGGTTCGAGGTCTTCTTCCAATTCCGGGTAGTTCTGTTATGGTTCGGAATATTGGCTCTGATCTATTGAGTCGGAGAGACATTTCAATTAAATTATTGTCGTATAACTTTTTTGTAAATGTTTTTGTCTAATTTCTAATCTATTTTTGGTTAATTCTAATCTAGTAAGGTCTTGTTCGAGACTTATGGTCGCACCAGATGAGTTAGGACCGAAGTGTAACTCATAGAGTAATTTCGGATAGGGTACACCGTCTGCTCGTCACGCTATCTTATTTTCGGCCGGATAGATTCGTGCAACTTCTTAGTCTAATACCGATCCTAATCTTACTCTTATACTATCTAGTCTCAGGTTGTTTAACTAGTCTCTGCTAGGCTCAATAGATCTAGGGTATACTGGTTTATTGCGGTTGCTGAAGTGCTCGGGAGAGTCCAACTAATTTCTAAGTTAAATTCAAATCTCTCTGGTGCTGAAATTACAAGTAACTTCAGCACTTACAAATAAGTGGGTTGTTAGTTAGATGGATCATGATTGGTTAATATTAAATACTTTACATTGGTAAAACATTTAATTTATCCAATCATAAAATATAGTTTAGATCAGGTTCCAAAAT